CCACATTCTTGCTCTTGATATTACCCCATTTTTAAAATTATTTGTTCATGTACATTTTCCTCCCCCACAATTCTGTTAAGAATGTCCTTCCTTTCACTCATCCTATAGTGCAGTGTTCATTATCTACCCATTCTTTTCCCCTCTTCTTCTCCTATCCCCCCATCTCAACCTATCGTTACAATAATAGCTTATGCAATATTTGTACCTTTGTGACTGAGATGCTTAACTTAGTATAATGTTTTCCAGACTCATCCATGTTGTATAGTATTTTACTAGTTCATTGTTTTTCAATGCCATGTAGAATTCCATTGTGTGAATGTACCATATAGTTTCTTTATCCATTAAATTATTGATGGGCACCTAGGCTGTTTACTTTAATGACTTTTAAATAATTGTTTAATGACTTTTCAGTTTTCAGATTCTAGGCATTTATAGGACCAAAGTCAATATAACACAAGCACTGTTTTCCTCTTAGATAATTTCTTCTGATTTGATGAAAAGGTCTCAATCCTAGGGGATGATGACAAGACTATGATTTAATAAAATCTCGCAGCTTCAGAAAATTTTGCAAGTTAGCGAGAAAGGTGCCCCCAAAGGGAATAAATAAAACAAAGACAAGCATGTATAATTAAAAAAAATTTATTAGAATTATTTACATGAGCTTCTTGATAGGCAAATAAATGTAAACTTGTCTTGTTGGCATTATTTCACATATGATTTAACCAAATTAAGAGTTAATACTGTCATTTGAGTGTACAGGTAGTGAGAAAGTTTTGTTATATTCACAGAATATACATACACGTGCATTCAGATGTGTCTCTTGTCAAGCCAGTGGGATGGATACTGTCCCATTGGCCCTGCTTCTGCTTCTCAGGTGTACAGTGGAATCGGTGATGTCGTCTACATGCTCTTCACTTTTCTTTTCCTTCAGGCTGTTGATGAACCTCAGGGTAATTTCATCCCACTCCTCAGGTAGTAACATCAGCAGAAACCCGATGCAGATAATGATGGTAGCAGCCAGGCGGACAACGTTGAATATCACCTCCTGCTTCAGGAGGTCTACAGCTATGAAAGAAACACCAAGTCAGTCACAGTCTGTGACAGTTCCTTCCTACGTTTCTTTGAAAGCAAATAACCAAAGTCTGGCGGTGTTTATAAATTTCCCAAAAGTTTTTCTTATTCCTTCAAGCTGGTCTCTCCCTTTACATTTATGATTTTATCTTTGTTATCCATTATTTATGTTTTCTTTCAAAATCATGTTTATGCTTTAAAGTTTAACTCAACAATTCCATGTGGGCTGACTATTAATTACCTCTCCAGTTTTATTTCTTAATCCATTTCCTCTGTCCTTGCACTTAATTCACTCTTCCTTTTTTGCAACATATTCTTTAGCAATTTTGGGTCACAGGAAAATTTTCAAAAGAGAAAAATTGTTAAAATTGTTAAATTTTGTCTAGGTCTTTGCATATACTGTTATTTTTGCATAGAATGGCTTGCTATCCCTATCTATCACTACAGCCATCTAGTTCCCCCCTTTGGATTTTTTCTTACTATGGGAAGCCTCTTTTGCTGTCCCTCCTATGTGCTTTCCAACAATTCTTTAGTATCTCTATCAAAACATGTTTCTCTTTTGTAATCTCACAGCTCCTTTTGCCTCCTCCACTAGAATACATGATCCTGAGAGCTTTCTTTAGGCTCTATGACACAGAAACTGGGGTAACAGGGTGTTGGATACAATGGGATGGCTCAACATTGGGCAGGTTTCAGAGCTTTTGTACCCAGGGTCGCTATGACAACTCGGCAGCACATAACAACTGCCACCAGTGTTAGTACAGTTTCTGGCTTTTAAAAAGTACTGAGTAATTATTGAATGAATGCATCAACAGATGAATGGGTGAATTTGCTTAACAACACAACTCCTTCTTCTTATCTTCCAAATACCTTACAGCTCTTGGGGTTTGTCTTTCACAATTTGGCATTTAATAACAAATTCATTTGTAAACTTCCAAGTTGCTTCTTCTACGTTCATCTTTTCCAAGATCAGTCGTATACTTTCTAAGGAAATAATGTCCTGATAACATTATAAGTGCTCCTTAAACATTTGTGGAAGAAAGGAAGACTCAAGACTCAGAATTAGAGAATTGACAGTTAGATGGCTGTTACAGTCATCCAGATAACTTATTTTTATTATTTCCTCCTCTGATGGGTCTGACTAGAAAGATTACCCTGGAAAATAGCTTCTCTTTATCGCCTTAAAATGAGTCAAAAGGCTTTTTCCTTATATCTATTTCAGAGAGCCATCTGCTCTGCCCCTAGATGAAGCATGTGCAGCTCCCCAGGGACAGTGTGGTGGGGGACCAGCACCCTGTACATTGCCTCCACTTTCATTAGTGATGTTTACTTGAGAGTCCTTTGCTGGGGTGCCTTTTGTTTCTATAGGGCTCCCTCTAAAAATACCACAAAATTAGGTTGTCAGGGAGATTACATGAAACCCAAATAACACATTTGGTATTTAATTCTAAAAGCACGACCAAGTAAAAACAGTGTTTGTGGCTGCAAAATTTAAATCTGTTGCATAGTGATTCTGTTGTCTGCCACCTTCGTGATATTTAAAAACATCTTCCTAGTCAGGGGACATAATTCACAATTGCTAGAAGAAAGAAACAGCTTAGTGAATAAAACAGAGGAGTAGGAGGCTCCCTGCGGTGTGGTCAGAATCTGCATATGCTAAATCACACCTGTACCTGCATTTCCAGGAATGCTGAGCACGGTCCCAATGGAGATTAGGATTGGGTATGTCAGCACCACACCAACATTCACCAGGATATTGAAGGCTGGAAAATAAAGAAAGATTATAGGATGAAAGAGTATTTTGTGCTATTTATTCTCCTTAGCTTCAATGCGTTAATGCATTTACTAAACATGATGCTTTCCAAAAACTGCCTGCATCATTGGCCAATTAATCATCTCATTTTGAAGATGGGTATATGTGTATCTGGTCTCAATCATGTTCTTCTTGTCTTCTCTGTTAGCCTGGTGGCTGCCTGGTCTCTTACCAATTAGTTGTCAAAGGAAATTGGAAGCAAATGCTGAGGTAAAAAGCCATTCCGTATGCTGCTTTTTAGCATTACAAAGATAAATTGGGTCATCAGAGACTACAAGCTGGTGATTGACTGAAGTCTGCATTTTATCTCTGTTACTTTGCTCTACCGTACTGTATTCTTAAGAACTAAACAAATTTACTCGGCTAAATAGTACTGCTCATAATAAGGTCTCTTCAATAATGATCTATGCTGGTTTACCCCTTGCCTGGGGCTGGGAATAGTCTGGGTGAATGAAAATGGATTCAAGGCCCTTCAGTAAACTCCAGAGACCATTTTTAAAAAATCTAAATTTGTGCACAGATAACCCAGGACTAGTTTACAAAACAAACTAAAGGTACAGTCTGATGCTTTCGAAATGATACCTTCAGATATCATTAAATAAAATGAAAATTAGTTAAAATAGCTTTCAGAAGTGACAAAAAATAAGTGTTTCTAAAAGCCAAAAAACTCGTTTATTATTTTAAGAGCTCTCAGGACATTATAGGTGGTTTTGAGATTAGAGAGATGAACGCTGAACAAGTACAAAAGGTCCTCAGTTCAGAAAGGATCTCTACGGAAATGACTCAACAAACTGTCCATACTTTGTAAAACTAAAGACTGTTCTCAAACTGTTTAATTAGGAGAATGTTTATTCTTCCACTGTCTTCTATAATTTCTGCTTTAATTATGTCTCCTAACTTACTTATCATTTGTGCTTGTTAATGAGAAGCAATGGATCTGACTTTCACAAGGCTAGGGATCATTTATAATTTTCATACAAAAGCAACAGAAATCAAAGAGAACCTTTCTAAATTGATACTCTGCGTCCTATATGACAGAGTTGCCAAATACTGGCCTCTGGATTCCCTCCTCAAACTCTGGCTGCCAAATATGCCACATTCTAACAAATCAGACATTGATTTAATATAGCACAGACTTTGCTGCCTATTTTTTTAAATAAAATTTTTTACTTTGTGATTTTAACAAAAGTTTACAGAAAAGTTAGATTTTCATTCATTAATTTGTGCACATTTTACCCCCTCTCCCTCTCTTCTGCCTCCCTCAGTTCACTTTTATTTTTCATATTCCTTCATTGTTAACAGTTACCTCCCTCTCCCCCTCCCCAGTCCTCAATGTACCTGTTATTCTGACCTGTTGTTGTACGTATAATATGTATGATGCCTAATCGTATATTCCTTTTAAATAGTTCATTCTTTCATCTGTTCCAATGCAACATTCATTATCTATCCACTCTTATCCTATACTTCTCACAAGCCCCCATGTCGGACCTGCTTTATAACAGTGGTGTTATGTGGTATCTGTCCATTTGTGACTGAGGTATTTCACTCAGCATAATGTCCTCCATTGTCCCTTATTTTGTGAAATGTTTTACGTGTTCATTGTTTTTCAGTGCTACATAGTATTCCACTGTATGAGTATACCATAGTTTTTCTATTAATTTATTTTTTTGCTGGGCATGTGGATTCTTCCATCTCTTTGCTATTGTAAATAATGCTCTACTAAGTTTTTCATCTCTCATTTTATTGGACAATGTTTTCGCAGTATTGGTATTATATAAAAAGTAAGTAATTTCAACTCAATGAGAATCAAGTGCTTTAACCTAACATGTTGTCTGTTTTTAACCAAACATGTAGTTCTGTAAATGCAACACGTCTATGCTTTTTACAAAACTACCTAAGGAAAGAATATTATTTAATGTATTATCCATCACATGGAGTCTTGTGAAAATTCCAGTTGGATTCAGACAAGTCAGGAAGGACAATGACTGTAGGACATGGCACTTCTAGGTAGATAGACCCACCTGAAAGAGGTGTGAGGAAGCTAAGCTTTCTCAAGCCCAAGAGCTATAGTTACAGGGGGTATGGACCAGTTCAGAGGGCAGAATGACAACTTCCATGCAGCATAGCTCATTTTTTTTCCAAAGCAGAACTCAAGGGACCAAGAATAAATGCTTGACCTTTCTTTTGGAAGTTTTCTGTTTCATCCAAATCCTTCCTGTAGGGTCTGATTTAGGTATAAAAAGAAAATCGTATGTTTACATTACCTAGTAAAGTTCACATGAGAGTTGACCTGAATATCCTACAGGTCAAACATAATGATTTAATGTAAAGCATATATTAGGGATTGGTCTTGGTTAGCATGAAGAAAGAGAAGCAGAAGAATAATAATTAGATGATTAGAACAGTGAATCTCTGGACTGTTGTTTGTTGACTGCTTGGTAAGAGAAGAGCAGGTTTACTATTTCTAAATCTCCCTTCACACAAAGTGACAGTGGCAGCACTGCTTGAAACGGGAAGCCCTCTAGTTGCAGACAGTGTGATCATTAGAGGGGTTGAGAGAAAAAACATTAAAAAAGACTCCAGGGTGGGTTTGCTACTATGGTTGTTGTTTTTCTTGGCCTCTAGCTAAGCACAGCCTGTTATTGTTATGTGCCATCGACTGAGTCTCTTGCTAGTCAGCGACCCTATGTACAAGAGCCCTAAAGACAATTCTATCCTGTGCCCACGTCGCCATCTCAAACACACTCATTCCCACCACTCCAGTCACAGAATCGATCCATCTCATCGAGGGTCTTCCT